GTTTGGAGACCCCTTCCTTACAACCTATGTACTATCTTCAAGCTAAGACCACCTACACTAACATAACCAGCCTCTTTCCTAAAAACATGTCTGTACGTAGACATGCATGTGCATACTGTTCCTTTTATCCTTTTTTAAGTTTCCCCTAAAGTTTCCATATTTATACCATATACATACTTAAGATCTGTTCTGATATCACTGCTTGAGCCACAGACAGATTACCTTGTTTGTACACCCAATCTTTGCTTGTACTTGTATGTGTCATCTAGTCCTGAGGATCCAAAAGCTCTTCACCTGACATTTAATCATTCACCCAATCACACGCTGATTGTGGTAAGCTACTGGATAGTAGCCACAGCTGCCCCTGGGCAATCTGTCAGAAGCGAGACTGCCATGGACCAGCGCCACCTGGGCCCTCCGACCACCACCAGCAGCACCACCACCCAATGACACAACAGAGCGGGGATCGAACCAGCAACCCACTAATTACCAGATGAACTCTTACCACAATCACCACCATCATCCCCATTTTGACCAATATAACAAATTCTGACGAATCCTGCAGAGGGCAGCAAAACTATAGGAACCTTCTGCTTACTGTCCACTACAGGTCTTTCGTGTCGGCCAAGTTGTAGCAGCAGTACTACACTGACTTCCAGCATGTTGTGAGGATGCTTGTTTCAGTTTGCTGGGTTTTACTTTGACCAGGTGAGGTAGTCAGATATCTGCACTTTCAGGAACTTCATAACATCCCCACTCACTATGTTAGTCCAAAGTGACTGCATTAGGAGAGAACTTACCAGTAAAGTAATTTAACTGCTAACAGATGCAACAAACTGCGATCTCAGTGGGAGTCCTGATGATGCTTTAAGTGCATTTGTGAGTAAAGAGGGGCAAACAAGAAAGAGAGATTACTTCAGAGCAACCACAGCAGCATATCTAGAGTCCCTGTGAAGAAACTGTAAACGGCACTGGGTAATTGCTTCACAAATAACAGCACTTAAACTGTGGCAGGAAAACACAACAACACTTTTTTTTCTCTTTTTTTTCCCCAGCAAGACCACATGAAAGGGATTCCAGCATGTGAATGTTGAAAGCTGCTGATCAAGAAAAGCCTCTTTGAATCTCATTCAGAAAAATGTCTCCAGATGAAAATAAGAGGGGAAAAAAAACAGATTGTTGAGCCGCAGTGTGCCAGTGTGTTGTTTTCAATTAGAAGAAATGAAGATATCTTTGAGTGAAAATGCTCCACAGATGATGTTGTGGAGGAGGAGGGGTGTTAGGGACTTGGTTTGCAGGCCGAGATTTGCCAAGTGTTTGACAGGGAACAGAACGATTCCAGTCAGCGCAGTGTTTAGCAGAAGAGAGTGTTTACACCTTTTATGGCGACTGATGAAGACACGTTCTACAATTTGTTACCAAGAAAGGACGGGAAAGCTAACCATTATATTTTTTTTATATGAAAGTAAATATACTTTTATTTTACCCAGCTATCGATCATAAGTGGCACATGTTTCTTATTTATCCTCCAGATTCCTTTTCTCTGACCATGGCTACACACAGCGTTACTTAAGACGTTACAGCAGACAAGGTTCAAAAGGTCCATTGCACCATCACCAAGGTACTATTGCTTCAGGTATAGACCAACAGTAAAAAAAAAAAAAAAAGGAAAAAAACTAGAAAACCCCCAGATATTTTCATAATAAGCCTGTTGCTGCGCACCGCTAGTCACCAGAAATAAACTAGATTCAGGTCTCTATTTGGGCAAAACTTTAAGTTGTTTGTTATTTTCTTTTTGTCTTTGAATTCCTGTAAAACACCCTGGATTAACTTGAGTAGGAATGTTGCTGTACACTGTAAAAAGGTTTGCCTTGCCTCGAAGTAACAATGTTTTAAAGTTACAGTTGATAAGCTGCACGTCTGTAAAGCAGCAGACTGCAGGCTAGTTAGCAACCAAGATAATACGGTCAGAAGGTATTTATTCTATGTGACCTTAATAAAACATAATGCTCTAGATAATATTACAATACATGTAAAAATATGTTAGGGTCATGGTAGACATCTGTGTTTTAAATTTTCATTTAAATATAGTGATCCAGACAAAATATTACTGGAGGTTTTTATAGAGGTTCACGCCACATAAAAGATTCGCATTAGCACTAATTTATCAAATGTGTCTATATTTAAAACGGTGAAAAAAGCTACATAAACCTAACAGTCCAGTGTCAAAAAGAAGGTACCCTTTCAATCATTAATTACTGCCCCTTAATCATGAATTAACTGTAACTAAATATTTTCAGTTCATCTTCACAAGCTACTCCCAGACTTGACTGCTGTCATATCTGGGAAATCAAGACACTATTTAGAACCCTCATGACAACATAAAGTAGTCGAAAAGATATCCAAAAGCAATGCTTCATACTCCTAAACTAAATAAATTAAAGAATAAGTGGGAAAGAAAATATTTTGTCAACTTGAAATGGGCCACAGAGGTAACAAACCGTCTCTAAGGCTGGGTGAGAGCCAGACATCCACAAAAGGATAAGACATGAAACGGTGGCCAGCCTGCCAAAATACCTCTGAAAGAAAAGAGATAACTCACTTACCCAGGAGGTCCCAGCAGAACCCGACAACATCCGAAGCACAGCGAACCTCACTCGGCTCAGTTACAGTTAGCGTTCATGATTCGACAATAAGAAGCAGCCTGGAAAAAAATAGTTAATTTCCAACACCTTTAGGAAACAGCTTGAAAAAACTGAGACACTAGCCGCGTGTTTCCACTAACCATAGAACTGCGCAAATTAAAATTACAAAAAATAAATTTGCATGCGAAGTTTAAAACAATAAAATAAAATAAACAATTAAAACAACTCACATTTTTCGATTAAAAAAAAAAAGAATTTGTTGCGCTGGGATGAGGTTGTTTTTCAGCCGTACTGAAATAGATGTAGCTATAGTATGTCGCACGAGTCACGAACATGAACAGCCGGATGTTACTACTGGCGAAAACCACGCAGAAGGCAAGTAGTCTTCTTTGTGGTTTGTAGTTTGTCCACCACAGCTCTCACGGCGTCAAAGTTGTGTGTCGATCCAATGTGCTGACTACAATTTCCCCAAAACGCCGCATACGTAGCCACTCACAAGTACAAGAGGCTTGTGTAGCTCCAAAGTCTGAACATGGTCAGTTCAGAATAACCTGGAACAATCGATCAAACAACTCAATACTAACTTTGAAAACCCATGATGTCAATGAAACAAAAGTATCCAGGCAGTCGGGGGGGAAACTGTCATGTCACCATAAACAATAAAAGCCGCATGAGCCTGGATATAACTTCTGAAGATTTTAATACTCACCACAGCCCACCAGAAATGTAAGCTGAAACGGTACCAAGATGAGGCAGTATATCTATTTTACAATAAATGCTGCCAAGTTTTTGTTAGCGGCTCATATGAAGAGAGTTCATACATGTGTTCTTTGGTCACACTGGGAAAAAAATAAATAAATAAATATTGGGTTCTGGGGTTAAATCATCATGCGGACTTTTGTCTGATGGATAGATCAAAGAATGCCACTGTCTTCAGAACACCGGCTGAGCCTTTTTTGGGGCCCTACATATATGTTATATTTAAAGTTAAACCGTTAGATAAATATGAATGTTTCATTTGTTCCAATTTACATTTCTGATAACTTGCTTGTTTCTTTTGTACTCACCATTGTTTGGCCCCAACAGGCATGGGATTGGCCGGCCCAGCACTTCCTGTTTAAATAGGTGTATGTATGATTACATCACTTGGTACAACCAAATGGAGGTTTTCTTTTTTCTATTGTATTGTTTGTTTTTCTGGAAGTAACCTTTTGAGTTTCCCTGTATTAAATGTTTTATTTCGCAGACCAGTAAGTTCTGTAGATGAGTTTGTGAGTTAGATTAATAATCTCGTTCCTGCTTCTTTGTTTAGATTTTGTTATGCAGTTTGACCTGTTTTCTCCTGGTATTGTCTAATAAAGTGCAAGTGTGTTGTGACAAGTACAGAAAAGCCTTAATAAATTCAACCTTATGCAACTCAAATCCTCAAATACTTGACACCCCTTTTAAAATCGCTTTAATGGTTTTATTTTAATAGTTGAAACCAAATATACCTTAATGTTCATTAATACGCACAGCGGGAACCGTTTTAGCACTACAGCAGAAGCTAATGTCTATGGTCTTCCTTATCCTCACGCTTCAGGGTGCGACCAATCAAACGCCGAATACAATGAGTGGTGCTCCTGGATTGGCTGCCTTGTAAACACCAGCCAATAGCATGTCAAGTAGCACTGTACATACATATGTCAGCTTCCTAAATTGTATTTTTTCTTTTGTATATTTTAGATATGTTGTACGAAAAAATACTTCACCATCATTAGGCAGAAGTCAACTCTGTTACTCAGGTTGCGTGTTTGTAGTTCAACTCTCTTGTTAAAAGATTGTCTGTCATGTCAGAGATAGATGTATTAAAGCCTCTGGACAGATCTGCAGGCAAAACACACTCCAGCTAAAACAAAAGTTTTCCACCTAAAATCCACTTTTGCATTTTATTAAGCTAATCAGCTCTATTTGCCTGAGTTTCTAACAACAATTAGCTTAAGATAGTGTGTGTGTGTGTGTGTGTGTACACTCTGAGCAGTATGATTCAACCTGTGGATGTTCTATTCTACGTTTCATGGACACAAGGAGGTCTAAATGGATAATCCAGGGCAGTAAACACAATTGTGCAGCTTCTAAGCATGTCCACATGCTAGCATAGTCTGCCACTGTGGAATAGGTTCTGTGTGGACTTTATATTATTCCAGAGGGGTGATGCGGAGCAGGGTTAAAACCTGGAATGTTCACTATTTCCCCACAGGAAGAGACTCGTGGAAGTCTACCACTGCCCCACGCCCAAAATCTCCTCATCACACGCAAAGTTGGCTGCCTGCTTAAATATAACACAAAAACCACAAAGAAATGTTCCACTTCATTTTCCTTTTGTGTTTTTATTAAAGATATTCTTTCTTTAATACAGTTTTATGGTATAAAATTTCACATTACAAAAATATTAAAAGGTTGTTTTTTTTTCATTTTGTTTTCATGACAAAACAAAACAAAACAAAAAAACAAAACAACCCAGAACCGAAGGAACCTGGTTTTGACCCGCTTCGTTCTCATTTTTAATACAAGTTAATATTCACTTCACTGGACGCTGTTTGCCTCACACAGAAGCACGTTCTACATTTACACAGGTCTCAACGCAGAGTCATAGTGGGCGTTTCTGCAGGATACAAACAGGACACACTTTACAGCAATTTACAACACGTAGTGGCACAGTGAACTTTCTGAGGCAGTCTTAGTTATTTATAAGCGAGTCTGGATATTTTAAGGCACTGGCTTCCTATACATGTTTCACAATGGAGTCATGCAAGCAAACTGCAGGTATTACACTGCAGGTGTAAACCTACATTAGGTTTATGTCATCTAGAGATTCGCAGATCAGAGTTTTGTTGTCAATCTAAAATTTTGTACAGATTGTATCTATGGTTCTAAAATATATTAGTTAAAAAAAACGGCTAAATGTGCAGTTCCTACGGTTAAGTTATAATAGCAGCCTATATCTAGTAATATCAGTTTAAGTTGAGTCTGATTTGTCACTTAAACTATTTTTAATAAAGAATTCCTGCTGTCAGAGATCATTAATTATTTTTAAATGAACCAATTAAATTTGATCGGAGGCGACGTCACTCTGTGTGAGAAAGGGGTCACAATAAAACAGGAAGAAAATAATAGAGATAACACTATGAGTTGTTTTTGGCATGAGATCCTAGATATTACAGTGGTTAGTATGATTAGAGTAGTTGGTACTTGAAAAAGTCCAGAAGTATTAACACCATAAGGAGTCCAGAGCAGCTAGCATCCATCCACAGTAAATACAGCTAACCTTTAAATAGCTTAACCTTTGGTTCTTCTTCTGACTCAAGGTTAAAACATTTCACTGATACCAAACACCGCTAGCTCCATACAATAATGTCCATGTTGAAGCTTGTCCAAGGTTAACTGTATAACCTCTTAGCCTTCGTTACAGTGCTATCCCTGACTTTTTGAGTTTCCAGCTGGTCAGTCACAGGTCAGCGCATCTCTACTGACATCATAATTATGTGATTTTACAACATAAGCTACTATAAGTAGTATGTTTTTGGCATCGTATCGCAATGCCAAAAACATTGGCATTAGCATTGTAATTTTATGCTAACCATAAAATTACAATGGTTAGCATATGTTCAGAAGTGTTGGGAGTCCAGCCTGAATGAGCAGCTAGCATCCCTCCATTGCAAATACGGCTAACCTTAGCTTCTTAAAGTTTTGGTTCTTCTTTCGACTTGTTTTAAAACATTTTACTGATACTGAACATGGCTAGCTTTGAATTACATCCATATCAATGATTCACAAAGGCTAACAGCTCCATGCTAACCATGGTATTAGCCTTTGTTATGGTGCATTCACTGGTTGGAAAGGACTAGATTTTTGAGTTTCCAACTGGCCAGTCGCTGGCCAGTGCATCTCTACTGGCAACACATTCATACATAGCTACGTAGCCATAAGTGTTTTAGGAAACCAATGATAAGTCATGGGTTCATGTGATCAAATTGCATCATTCATTCTTGTCTCCATATACATTTATATGCTAAAACAGGTGCCTCTTCTCTGCCACACTTTTAGGCGATGAATACTGAAATATATGACCTAACATTAAAACACAAAGCCGTCTTAAAACACACACACACACACACACACTCTGACCTAACACGTGAACACCCGTCTGGCACATATATGTCATTTCATTAAACGGCTCAGTAGGGGCCCATCCATGCCAGCAGAACGAGGCCCACATCTAAAACCCACCCACATCGTCACTGTATTTTCCACATAACTGTAACGTCTGAGGGAACACTGAACTATACACAGAGTGAAGCTTTCCAAAAGCTTTTCAAAAAGGTCGTTCAAAGAGGTGACGAACAATACCAAAGGAAAATAGTGCTTTAAAAGTCACGCATGCAATGCTTGTAATAAACTAAAACAATATCCTTCCTGAAATAGAGGAATTTGTTGTTTTTTTATTATTCTGTCCAAATATGAGTCACACAGTGAGGAGCAGGGCTATGAGTGGAGCCCCTGTGACCAGAGAAACAAAATGCAGAACAGCCGCACACAGCTTTGTTAACAGCTGCCATTCGTAGGCTTATGCTTGATTTCCGGACTTTTGTTCAGAAAAACCCCCAAAAAGTTCTTCATAACAGAAGAGAAGGTCAAATACTCCTTGTGTAACATAAAAAAAACAAAAACCTCACCTCACCTCACCTCCCTACACATTCACATGTCTTGTGAGATTTTGGGAAAAACTAAAAAAAAAAAAAAAAGTTCTTCAGAAAGCAAAACTTTCTTTAACCATTTTCTGTGGTTCACTTCTGCACTTTCCAGAGAGTCCATTTTATTCAGTAAGAAGAAGTGGCTGAAGGAATATAACAATGAAAAAAAAAGGCAAAATTCTGCTCATTTCTTGCTTGCAGTCGGTTTTCAGCCTTGTTTCTACACCATGGAGAGAGGGTTGCCCTGCTCCTGGATGTCTGCTGGAGGAAGGCAATCTTTCTTCACCGGCATTTGGGTCACAGAGCACCATCTTCTTTTGGGCCGAAACAAATCGGACACAAAGAAAACCTGCCAGGCAGAAAGAGAGGGGATTCTTTAAAGGTTTGCAGTTGGCCAGAAAAAAAAAAAGACTTTCTACTCTTTGTCATGGTCTAAAAATATAAATATAACTTCCTGCCTATCCACAATTATTTATACTTAAAAATTATATAATGGCACTTTTAATGATTGTGGCTAGTTATTCACTCCTAATATCTTATCTGTAACCCTGTTCGGTTTACAATTTGATGTGGACGTCTTGGACAATTTAGAACACACACACATACACACACACAAAAACGTTGTTCATGATTTTTTAAATTGTTAAAATCTTTGCTAACTTTTGTACATCTACCAATAGACATACGATAAAAAAAGCTAACAAATATCCTCAGCATCGGTGATGTTTAAACTAGCACTTCAAACATGCAATACTCGCTGCAGTCCTCCTCTTAAACAGAAGGTGTCTCTGCTGAGAAAACAGTGTTACCACTCAGCACTTGGTCTCTGAAAAAGTACTACAGGAAGTCAATTCAGAAGTTCCAAATTTAGCTACGTACTTTTAACATCTTCATCCTTTTGAGCTCGTTTTTGAAGTCAAAAACAAAAGATGCGAGGCTTAAAGGATCGTTTTGTAACAGCACTCAAAGTCTTTAGCTAACTGTAGCTATGTCTTGATACGACTTTACTGTTTGTTGCTACCCTCTAAAGGTCCTAGAAAATAATTGTAACAACTATTTTTGGTTATTTTTAACATTTACATATTCACGTAACAAAAACGACACACAGTGCTGAAAAAAAACCACAGCTCGTGCAGAAATAAACAATATTTAAATTCCTGTCAATGGCACAAACACAAAGTGTAAACCAAAAGGTGTAGGCTGAAGCACAAGCTTATTATACCTTCACTTTTTTATACATAAAGCATCAGCAAAATCAAAGCAGCAAAGTCTTTCCTGTATATTTTTCTGAAACACGTCTCCAGGGAATTTCAGATAAGTCTGTAGACTTATTAAAGAAAACATAATCAAACCTTATTTTATTTAACAAATTGTTTTTATAAATTTTTAAAAAATTTAGGTCATAGTTTGTTTCTTTAATTTCTAACTACTTCTGCATGACGTTCTGAGCTCTACAAAAATAAAAAAAAATCTTAAGGTTTGCAATGTAAGAAATATTTCATTAGATAAAAATGAAATATTTTATCTGCTGTTATAATTTGGATATCTTTATAGAAGAGTGTGACGACTTACGACGCAGACGGCCACCAGAGCGCCCTGAAAGAACCCGGCCAGGACGTCGGAGGCGTGGTGCTTGTGGTCGGACACCCGGGTCAGGCCAGTGTAAAAGGACATCATGATGAGGGTGAACTGAATTAACGGGCGCAGCAGGCGGGCTCCTTTCCAAGTTAAGCGAGACTGCAGGTAAAACTGTAGACCAAAGGAAGATTTTTTTATTTATTTATTTATTTTTATTATAGTTATTAAAGAACAGAACGAGTAAAAGGATGAACATCTGGAAACTCACCACCAGGTAGAGCATGGTGTACATGGAGAACGACGCGTGTCCAGAGAAGAATGACTTCCTGAGGAGAACGTTCATCAGTTAGCATCGTAGCGCTTAACAAATGTCCAAACCAACGGCATTTGCTTGTGGGTGACTGACCCATGGGTTAGCACACCATACCTAGCCTCTAGGACTTGGCTCTCTGGCCCTTGACACTTGTACTCCGTAATGTAGCCCATGGAGCAGTTGATGGTGGAGAAGTCAGGCTTGCACACATCGATGAAGTTTGGCCGCAGGCGGCCTATCGACACCTTAGCGATGTTGGTGAAGGACAGGCTGATGGCACAGCCAAAGGCGAACAACCCAATCTGTTTGTAGAAAGCAGCAAAGTAGGGGTTCCCGACAAACGACTTGGTTCCTTCGCTCATAAAGAAGATCCTGAAGCTTTCACCTATTATGATCTGAGAGGAGAGAGAGGAAGCGGATGTCGGTGAAATGGCCTTTTTGAAGTTATCGTGAGCTATTGAAGAACAATGGACATTTTGCTCTTTGCCGTTTTGCCTCTTCATTGTTTCATAGCTTTGGTGGTTTCCTATTAGACCAGGGGTGCCCAAGTCCAGTCCTCGAGAGCTACCATCCTGCAACTTTCAGCTGCATCCCTGGTTCAACACATCTGAATCAAATTAATGGCTCGTTATCAGACCTCTGTAGAGCTGATCCCGGTCTGTTGGAGTAAGGATACTTCTAAAACTTGCAGGCTGGTAGCTCTCGTGGGCTGGACTTGTGCACCCCTGTATTAGACTTTTTTTGGGGTTCAAAATGGAGAACATTTTAAACCAACTCTGCATTAACTCAGACCTGTCAGGTGGATATTTCATACCTGCTTTGGCAACAATTTAAAGTCATTTTGTATGATCTGCTCAAAGGGTACTGTAAAGAAATCTGGGCATATTGGTACTAATTTGTCGTATATCATCAGATTGAACCAGTCTAAACATTAATTAGAACTAAAACTAATCACTGACTGGTAACTGAGACAAGCCTTGGGGTTTGCTTGAGTATCAATTATCTATTTTAATTTGTCAGCACTTTATGTAGGTCTTTGATAGACTAGAACGAAGTACTGAGCTTTCTACACATTAGGGCTGCCAATATGCTGAATGTCTTTACTCTGTTATACTCTTCCTCTGAGCGAAAACAATGAAAAAACCCCCATTGAACATTGCAGGGAACAATCAAGGAGAGATGAATATTCATGACTCAAAACAGCTGTCCGAGCTCAAAAGTGCCTTCCCTGCCCCCTAACCTCATCTTCTTCTGTTGTCTCCAAGCTGTTTACAATTGAAGCTGTGGAGGAGTGAGAGACAGATGGGGGAGGGGGGAGGACAGAAGGTACAGAATGACAAGAAGGGAGGATGGAATGGCCAAGAAGATATGCTAATACAATTGAAGGAACAATAAATATTGCAAGTAAGGGAGGAGAGGCAGAAAAGTGAGAAAAGGAATGAGGAGGAGAGTAGGGTTGGGGGGAGTCACTGCTGGTTCTAATCAAGGAAATGCTGAGCTAGGCGACGTGTCTGATTGGCGGCGGCCAGATTCCACCAGGCGCATGTTTGTTTTTCCCCCCGCACAGGCGGTCTTTCTGAAAATGCGGACGTCTGGCTGTTTTCACGTTAGCATCTCGAATTCATCGCGCATTCTTCCGAGGAGGGGATGGGGAGGGGTCAGTGAGCCTCGGTCTGGAAAACACTGGAGATTTAACAAGCAGATAAAAAAGAAAAAGTGTTGTTTCCACCACACAGGCCTTTAGAGCCAGATGCAGCTACCCCAGCTGGAGGAAAGACAACACATCTGGTTCCTCTTGTGCAGAAGGTTTTCACTGAGCGAACAGATGAATCGAGTTGCTTGGTAATGAACGCGCAGTACCTCGAGAAAGCCGTCATGCACCTTGAACTTCTTTCCACATTTGGTCACACTACAACCACGAAATTTGTTGGGTTTTATTGGGAGTTTACGTCTACTTGGGAGGAAATGGGAGTCCAATTGTGTCTAATTTAAATCAGTATAAATCCGGTCGTTCTGCAAAGGCCTAAAGAACACCAGCAGACAGGGATATGGTTGTGATGTTTAAAACAGAGCCAGGTTATAAAAGACAATATTTTAGTGGGTCTGAGGTAACTCTGGAGGAGTGGCAAAGATCCACAGAATATTCAGGGGACTCTGTTGACTGGACAACTGTTATTTGCCCACTTCCTGTACGGATGAGTGGCTTTCCTTCCAAAAGGAGACGGAAGCTGGTCAGAGTTGACGGAGAGATGGTTTGAGAGAGAAGCCCATTTGGTGTCTGCAACACGGCGACGATGTGAAAATCTTACCATAACGGAGGAAAAAGAAAAAGAAAAAGAAGCTGATTTGCTCTTTGGATAAAGTTTCAAAAGTGACAGCATATTATTTCTACTTTCACCCTGACAAAGGCCAGCATAAATTACATAAACTACAAAAAGGCCACGACCTCTCGGTTTCCCTCCAGCTCTCCGTCTCTGAGCAATGAAGCACTAAATAAGTTTGTTTTTTCTTCTGCTTCATAAAATACAAATGTTGGCCAGAGCTCTCTAGGTGGGGTGTTGGAGATGGATCCAAAAGTCATGTATTGCTGGGGGAAAATGAAATATATGGCCATTTTTGTTTTTCCTTGTTTGGGGCCCTCACCACAATTCCACCCCAGCAATTATGGTATTTAACCAAACAACCATTGCGTCAACCGTAATTACACAGCCTGCCGGCTCCTTCTCACCCCTGTGGCTTTAGGTCCGTGCAGTACTCTGCTCCTGGGGGGCGGTGGGAGGTGAAGGGCAGGGTACACAACACATGCACCCTCAGCCGTGAAGCAACGCGGTGTCGCTCGGCCGAGGTGAAAACTGGACATATTATGTGAGGTATAACATTTAACTTTTTAAACGGGCCTTATGTTTTGGGGCTGGGAGCTGCGGGAATCTGTTTGCACACAAACGACCCATCTGTGGTTGTGAATGTATTACTCTGTGGCTACTCTGTGTTGGGGGGAGAGAGTGGGGGGGAGTAGAGTTTTGTAAGCACTAACTACACGCTTGGGCAGGCTCCGTCTACTCGGCGCGGTCGCTGCCGAGTTCTTACAAAAGTCGCTGGAGTTTAATTTGGGTTTCCATGTAGCGGCTGAGTCATTTAGTATGAGTTGTTGTCTTTAGACGTGGGAAAAAAAAAAATCGTCTTGTAATTTTCTTCTTTATTGCTGTATCTGTCAAAAGCAGCCTGGCGAGAGACGCTCAAACAAAACTGCACGAGTTCCAGCAGTAATGAGTTTAATTACCAGACTCTGGGCTGAAGATGCTCAGCTTTCTCTCAGTAGAGTCCTCCAAACTACTCCAAACTTCACTTTACTGTGAAAGTCCTAATCATTTTAGTCATCTTGCTTCCTCTAGGGAAAACTCAGGAGAGAGTGTTGTCGGTTCGTTCTCATCTGGAATGCTCTGGAGGCAGCGGCTCTGGCTGATGGCCCAGGTGTGGAGAAGAGTCACATCAGTCATCATTCAGGATCATCTTAGTTTGTTCCCTCGAAGCCCCGAAACGGGAGATAAAAGTTCCAAAACGTTGTTTGAAGTAAGCATGTTTATGCCTGTGTTAGTAGCAGCCCTCATGTAGAAGTGTTCAAAAAACTTGCATAAATGGTACTTTTCTTTTGTTTTAAAAAGTATTTGTTTGGAATAAACCCTAAATCGTTGGATTGTTTTAGCAAGTGCTTCTATCCATTTGCTGATTTTATGAAGATCAACATACGTGTCTTACTTTTTACGGCATGTTCTCTTGTCCTTCTCATTTTCAAGGATATCCAAGGGAAGCCTATTCCCATCATCTTTCTGTACTGGAGTAACAATACATCATTGATTACTCATTAAAATATCTTTGACACTATAAAACCTAAAGAGAAGGACAAAAATCAAATTGTTTTACAGTTTGTTAATTGGTGGCAATAATTGTGGAACCAGTAATCTGGTAAAATAAAAATAAATTTGATGCTTTTAAATTTGTTGGAATATTTTATTTTCAATGCGATAAGAAATTGTTTTTACTACGTTCCTGAAAAAACTATGGATTGAGCTGTGGGTACGCTTTGAGGCAAACATGAGCAGCTGTAGCTGATTGGACGGTTTGCATATATGTTTAAATCATTTTTGTAGACAGAAAACATGAAATAGCATCTACTGCAAACAGGAATAATAATAATAATAATAATAATAATAATAATAATAATAATAATAAAAATTAGCATGAGAATTCACATGGCTCCCACAGGTGCTGCTAGTACTTGTGAGCGGCGCTGAAACCCGAGGAGTGAAGATGACATTAGTGATGAGAGTGAGGTGACTTACAGAGAGGATGCTGATTAGAATGCCTGTCGCGCTAAGCAGAGTGTCGCTAACGATCTCTCTGCTTTTGGCCGGGTACCTGATGGATTCATCGTCGCAGTAAAACCCTCTACGGTTCGGCTGAACAGCGGAGGTCTCAATGACCAAGAAAGGCAGGCCGGCTAGCGAGGAGAGGGCGAGTGAGTGGCACAGAGAGGGCGGAGAGGAGTTTGGGACGGGATGGAACGGGATGGGAATGGAGTGGAAGAGAAGGGAAGGGAAGCAAATGGGGGAGGACGAAAGAGGTGGATGGGTGGGTGGGTGAGAGAGAGAGAGAGAGATGGAGGCGCTAGGTTAATGACACACAAATCACAGAGGCAGTGGTGGCAAGCAGGGGATGACAAGAGAACAGCTGGAGCTGGCTCAGTTCGTTCTGTGGCTGTTATCTGTGACTAATAAAGTAATGACTGCTAATTGGCCAGTTGTTTACCGAAGGATCCGACTTGGGGTCGTGACTCAGCCTGTCAACTGAAGATCGAGGATGCTTTACCTTACAGCTGTTTTTGTTTGCCGTAAGGAATCATTCTGTTGAGCTGAATGTTTCTGAGAAACTCTCATTTTATAAGAGATATTTGAAAAATAAGCTGAAAATTTGAGCTTGTGGTTTTGTCTCAGGACTGAATTTGGAAGTCTGTTACTCTAATGATAATAAGCAGCAAGTTGTCCAAGTTGGGCTCAGAAATTGCCTCATAAAAGTAAAAAAAATAACCCCTAATGGTATTGATGAGTTTGAATCAGTGGGAATCCATCTGCTTAGTAAAAACATTTAGTAAAATCGCTTTAAGATGCACACATCCTTATTTAATTGTAGAAAATTAAATTGCATGAAGAAAATTCCATTATTGTAGGATCCAAAGTTGTGCAATTTAAGCTTGCCAGCTTGTTTTAGCTGTTTGAGACCCTTATAACAAGAAGGGAAGTGGCTCTAGAGTTGAAAACTTAAGGAGTCAAATCATAAACACTTTACTGACTCAGCATTTTGAGTAGGCATTAAAAAAAAGGATGGAAAGTGCTATTAAACATTTGTTTGCAAGGTCGGAATACCCAAGTGGCTAGCGGTTAGCTGCTAACGACACTAGTTGGTGTTAGCTTCTCTGGTTCAAAACCCTAGTTCTTCACAATTTGAGATTTATAAAAATGTTTCTTTGGAATTAGCCATATTCTAAAGAATTAGCTAAAATTTCTGTAGTAAATTAGCCAAATTCTAAAAAAGGAATTGTCTAATCATAACGGTCTCAAATACTACAACGTTGCACCTGAACTACAGTAGATTATTCTGCACTGATTAGACTCTTTAAAATAAATTTTGTTAGCTGTCAAACCTTCACTCTGTTGGTAAAAATAAAAATACTTTGTCTCATTTCATAACCTTAATATGAGGATTTATCATTTCCCTCATTTTTTAACACATTCTCTTCTTGTAGGACTGTAATTTGAATGTCTTAGATCTAAAATATATTGGTAGGAAAAGCTAAAAAAAATGTATTATTTCAATTTGGGATAGTTCATATTTTTAGATATTTTTCTTTATGAATAAACAGCCGATTTTGTATGCGTTTGGTAAAATGAATGTACACCAGCGGCTGCCTGAAGGCCGGGATTTGAATCAAACAGTGGAAACTGGTGGACAAGTAATGTGCTGCATACATGATTTGCAGTCAATGGGACATAACCACCGCGTGCGACTCAGAGCCTGTGGAAGCCATTAAATGAGTGTGTGATGTGAAAAATCCAGCCACTGGCGAACTGAGCGCACTCCGACACAGGCTTCCCCTCATCCTCCTGCTTTTACCACACCAGGACTTACAGAGAACAAGGGAAGAGAGATGGCCGTAGCTGTGAGAACAGAAGTGGGCACCGAGCTGTTCTTATAGGACAATCTGATGCTCTGGTCGTCACAGAAGAACCCCCTCTGGTAAGGCAGCCAGACAGAAGACTTTTCCAAAAGTATGCCGACAAGAACCACTGCATGGTTGGACAGATACATGAGTGGAAGGTGAGGCAGGTTTTTTTCAGAACACACACACACATATATATATATATATATATATATATATATATATTTTTTTTTAAACGCTTAACTTGGGAGAGAAAATACAAACCGCTTTCAGGAGTTCCGAGGACAGCATCGTCATAAGTTTAACTGAACACCATTGCAATTAAAATAAGAAAATTCCACAGAATATTAAGATCAAAACTATTTATTTTGTCCTCTTATTCCATTCATTTCAATGAGAGCACAGTGAAAATGCTGAAGTACCAGTTTTCCCAAAACTCTGTGGAAGAAAGCAGTAGAAAAGATTTTCCTTCAAGCATACTACTGGACAAATTGAAATTATGTAAAGTTTGCGATTAATGGAAACACACCAATTAAAAAAAAAAAATCCTGAGCTAGGTTGAGGTGGATCGAAATCTATCCAACCCGAGTCATATATTCATCAGCCAGATGTTACTACTGGCAAAAACGAAGAAGAGGACAGGAAGTAGTAGGAGGATGATACTATTTTGGGGGTCAATTTCCAATGCTCATTTGTAAAACCACCACATACAATTTCCCCAAAATGTCACATACACAGCCATTCCTAAGTATAAGATACTAATGTTTCCTTTGACGGTTGATCAATGTAACCATTTACATTCGTCGCTGCCATGATTTATAAATGACTTATTGCATTAAAAATCTTTTAAATTCCTTATTTTATGGAAACACAATATTAGTAATTTTGTTTTTACATTAGCAGAATACAGAAACATTGAAAGTAATTACTAAAGGTAACCTGTTAATTCCACATTTTTGCTTAAATCCATGCATGGTTATGAATTAGTGAAACTGCGCAATTTTAACCCATGGCAGTTATCTTTCCAGTCTCTAACACCGAACTATGTCAAATGTTTGCCAAACCGGAAAAAACAAAAAAACAACAAAAAAAAAACACCTTGAGTGGCACTATATTTCCGGTCGCGGCTTTGAGGTAGACCTTAAAAGGGCCTTTTGAAGACGCCTTGTGGGTATTTGTGTCTGATCGATTTAGTGTCTTTCACCACTTGAAGTAGCGAAAAGATCTGTTCTTATCTGCTGACAACAAACAGACCGGATGTAACTTAGCCAAAGAGCCAATACGGACAGCTTATTTCCTCGATCTCAAGAGGCAGCGATGGAGGACTTTGATATCCCGGGGTAACTGAGGTACCCAGGAGAGGCCCTCAAATCTCAAGACAGAATAGAGAAAATATGCTTCCACTCCACTTCAAAGTGACGCTGGGCTGTCAAGTCGGCTGTGATCTGCAGATATAAAAAAAAACAAGCAGACTGCTGGTGTTGGGGAGGGTGGTCGGGGCAATTTCTTAGACTGAATGTCAACACATGCTTGACTTGCTGAGCCCCTCAACCTAACATACCCAACCAATTACACACACACACACACATACACAGAACTGCTAGGTTGTGGTTTTCAAGGTCCAGCTGGGCTGAGTTCAGGTTACAGAGAGTTCTGGCGCTCTGGGAAATCCAGAATGCCGCTCGGCCTTCCACGTTCAACAGGGTTCACGTTATTAACTTTCAGCCACTCTTCAAACAAATACCTACGCCGGAGCGACATTCCGCTCTGAAGCTGTACCGGAGGAAAAAGAAAAAGAAATCGGGCGGGACGTCTTAATGGGCCTGTAACTGTCAAAACATACCGCGTTTTACAGTGCGTTTACTCCTGAATGTCAAATCCCCCAACAGTTTGGTTCATCTGTCTCTGAAGGGAACAACACAGGAGGGTATCCAGACTGCTGATGTGACGGAGAAAAGACCTCTGCAACCCCTTTAAACCCATTCACTCAGACTCGGACTCACCACAAGCCAGGAGGCGTTCGGAGGGCAGAGATTCAAAGAGAAGAAAGGTCTGGCAAACGCACTGATGAATTCACGAGTCCGTGGCTTTTAAATGAACCTTAAAATGACCAAGCACAGTAGATGACTTCTTGGAAACAGGGTAAAAGGAGGAAGAATGACAAGAAACAGAAGGTCGCAGTCAGATCCCGGGTTACAGGCATTCGGCTGTTTTTGCTTCTCCCTCCTGACTCGGGTGCCATGACCCCTGGCATCCGCCTGACACTGCAGCATCAGCAATGAGTACGGCTTCCTGGGATTTTCCCCTCCTGCCCACTTCAGTAGAGCCCACATGAAACATCAGAGGGCGGTGGTGAGAGCCGGTCGCGCCAACATCAACACCTGTCAGCAGGTGTGGGCAAGTTTTCCGGCACTAGCTCGATGTGAAAGACAACAGGAGCGAGAGAAAATGCTGAGAAGCTAGAATTAAAACAGCAAAGAAAAAGTTGAGTTCTTCACATTAGCATCGGTTGTTCTCTGACAAGTTTGGTTCGTTCAACCAGGAGTCCTACTTAGTCATGGGTCAACAACCAGATCAATGTACAAATAATTACAAATTCAGCTGTGTAGAGAAATGTTTAATTTCAGAAAATGGATCATTTTCAAGGATGCGCCTATCTGACTTTTTGTGGCTTACACAGATTTCCAATTTGTCTTGAGCTCAGACCCGCCAATTCTGATTTTGACCGATTTAGACTACTACTTTGTAATGTTAGTGGTAGTTTTGAACCGAGTAAAAATAAATGAATTCATGAATCCAAACGATGGAAAATTTGGGGAGTTTTTTTTGTTTAGATGCACTTAATGAGTAGGGAATTAAAAGATGGCAACTCACTGTGATTTTTACAGGTAACCATTTAAAATTACAATTGGAAAGTTAGCATGTCTGTTGAGCCCAACTAATTAACAAGTAAATTATCAGATTATCCTTTTGTTCATAGATCTACATGTTTTTGTTTTGATTTTGGCATCAACTAAAATGTCCTGATAAAATGTGAGGGTTTGAAGAAGACCAACCAATAATTTATACGCCACAGTATAGTCATTAACCCGGAGCCACTGTGACCTGAAAGCAATTTGTTTTTGCTTAAAGGACTGGATGCATTTAGGCAGCTGGGGGTGAGTATTGTGATGCAAAGTTCAGAGCTGCCTTATGCTGGTGAATGCTACGATTAGTAAGCCACGCCCCTTTGGTTCTGCAACGGCAGCTTCATACTGTGAAAGTCCTCAAAGCCTGACATCTCAGAAATACTTTATCATACCCAGCTATAATTAATATTCTACATCTTAAGCACCAGCAGGTGTAACTGTTGGTTTTCTGCAAGTTAAATAAAAAAGAAAAAGCAAGTTAATCATGTTAAACATTTCTATTTTTGTCTTCACGCATGTTTTCTCTTGGCCCAAACCTAGTCTCAACATAAAACAATCAAATGATGAGGGGTGTTGATGGGTTCTTCAGTGCCTCACCAGGTTCTTATGTCGTCTGTGGAAAATGCTCAACATGTGCTGGAGGCGTTCAGTGAAACACCAAGATGTGACTGTAAAAACAAACATTTTCCACTTGATTGCTTGCAGTCTGCGGTGGAGTGCGTGAACATGTCTGAGCCCTATGTGCGTGCGCGCACACACACACACAAACGTATACATACACACAATGATGTGGCTGTTTTTAAACTTTCAGCTGTGCCTTCAAAAAACCAGTTGTACCACAGCTGAGTCTGAGGTAAAACTTCGCTCATGTTTCCACAGCGTTACAGGGAAACAAGACGAGCCAAACGAGCTTGATGGATAGAAATCATATAGATAGAAAGGTCACCTGCTGGTGACATTTTTCCAACATACAAGTTGAACAAGTTTTGTTTGTTCAGGAGTACAATGAGAGACGTTTTAATCAGCTACATGGTGTGTTCCTCAAGTGACGTTTCTGAGTTGTCTGGTTAGAACCAGACTGTCTAGACAGGGAGTTTAAAAAAAAATAAAAATCCCTAAATGAGAAAAAAAAAATTAATTTGCAAACTAACCTTTCAAGATCTTTCTCAAATGACAAACTTCATAAATGTTTAATGGTATGAGTATCTTTGCCTGCATGTTTGGCTTATGAGCCATCCACTTGAACGTTTCCCACTTGTTTCCCAGTTAATCTTCCCAGAAGATTAACTGGGAAACACTATATCCACCTTCCGCAGTCTAATGTAAACAGAAACGTTTCCCGTCAGATCCGAGTCAGGATGACATTTTCCTGTCAGAAAACTCTTGTCTTTACTGATCTACAAAGAGGAGGGGAGCCGGAACACCGTAAAACAACCAAATGACGTCCTTGGAGGCAGGAGTAACTGCGCCGAGAGCAGACCAAGGAGATTGCTAGTTGTGGCCCACAGTTTCCTACTTGTGGTCAGACTCTTTAACCCGACATCTTTAGAAAGAAACACACTGCTGGTTTGTTGACAAGTTTTCTCTCTGTGATGTTTATGGAACAAATGATGGAGATTTACCCTCCATAGAGATGAAAACTAGCCTGACTCTAAACATAGCATATTTTTTTCATGAGAAAAAAATAAAAATATATATTTTTTTTTTTCTACAAGATTGTAAAACAGTCAGTGGATTTGCCAGGAAGATGGAACAGCATTATTCTTAACATCTGGCTTGCAACTGTGGCTTCACACTGACATTTCAACACATTATGGACATGTGGTTACATCAAGCATCAATTAGTATGAAGAACGAGGTAAATCATTTTAATTTCTAAAATATTTCAGCATCAAAAACTAAATCTACCAGCAGCTGTTGTGAGATTTTTAACACCCACATTGGTCTGGTAAATAACCACTTAAGCCAGACGCACAGCGTAAAGTTCAGCAGATGTTCACATCTGAAGCATTCCTGTTGCTGTGAAGAATTTGAGCCATTCTGGGAAAAAAAAGGTAAAAAAAACAGAGGTTTGTATGGTTACAGGTGTGGGTGGAGAGGGAAGAAATGCTGGAACAGTTCATTAGTGGGTTTCCTCTAAGCCAGCCCATTTTCTGGGACCAAGGAGAAACGGAACACAAGAAACTCATGTAATATTTGGAAAAGATAAAAACAGATTATTTTGTGGGTTAAAATGGAGCTTCTGAGTCTGACTGGAGTTTGGTTTTAATTTGTAGCTGCTTCAAGACCCACAATTATGCACCAATCATAATCCTTATCGGAGTTCACAATTGGAACTTAAAATCAGCCATAGCAATATATTAAAGTAAAATACTTTAAAGTCAAACATGTGAAGGCTGAATCACATGCAATTCCCATTATTTATATACTATTCACTTGTAAATGTGTTCTTTTAAAATAAAATTATCCAGGATGGTCAATTAAATCCCTGTTGTTGAAAAAGATTTTAAAAGTTTCTCACTTCTGAGGTTGAGAAAGGCAGAGAAATAAAACAACTCAGCTGAACAATATTTGACTCCATTACCCAGTCTGTTATACGACTTGTCAAATAATGTGCGCTTAATTATGCGGGTTTGACTGGGGGATTAAGCTGTCATATTTCATTAGGGTCGAAAGACCAAAATGGGAACCAGAAGTAAAGTAAATTGAATAGAAACCCGCTGTCTTCATAAAATTAGATTTAATTGAAAGAGATTCTAGCTCTGTAACCACCTTAAGTTTGGCAACTGTAAACAGCTGCTAAGCAGGGCGGGGCAATAATAAATATGTGACGGTAGACATGTGATAAATATCAAAATAATATGCGTCAGATATATTCAGTAATTTCACTGAACTCCGAATTAGAACCGAACAGCTTTATGGGAATCTATCGGCCAGCTAAACGAGGTTGGCGGCGTCAAGTAACTGGATCTTTGGTTACCTAGCAACAACCTGTTGAATAGCAGCAACGGTTTCAGGTATTGCCACCCTGCCTCATAACTTCTTAAACATATAAAATAATAATAAAACAAACACCTGGAGTGAAAGTAGAAAATGAGTACAACTGGAAAATAAAAAATTGTGGATAAAATCGGAAACGTCATGTCACCAGTTTGGCAGTATTAAAATAAAACGTTAATTACCGATATCGACTGACAAGAAGCACTTGTCTCGTGAGACATTTTTCAGCCATAATCACCCAATAAGTTTGCTTGAATTGACAGATTCAATAGTTGATGTTTAAATCGTAACACGTAGGGCTTTTAAACCTTCATTATATCACACGGTCACTTTGTAATACCACACGTTGTGTATAAACGGTAGTATATGTGAGCTGTGCTTACCTATGAACAAGCAGAAGAGATCCACAGCGACCAGCAGCTTTCTCCGGCTGCGGTTGGTGCAGATATTGCTGCCCAGTGAACTCTTCGTGTCGGCTGCCATGATCTTCACACAACGTTGCATTTAAAACCCTTTATCTATTCGCCTCTATTCGAAAGGAGGAATTCGGTTGTTGCTTTTCAAAGAGCGTCTCAGTTGGGCTCGCGCGCTGGGTTCTCTCACTTTTCAGTACTTCCCCCCGCCCCCGGACTTTCTACGACTACAGTTCGGCGCTTTCTTCTGTTCTCACCATCCTTTCTTCTCTTCCTTTTGGCTGTTTCAAGTCTGACAGACCCCACTTAAACCACGCCCCTTTTTAACTCCCCCCCCCCTCCCTCCGCCCCGTTTTCCTCAATTAATACCATATGGATATTTTCCTCCGCGCGGGCTTTCCACCCCCTACACACCCGACTTGCTTTAAGGATGCAGGAGTCAACACAGCAGCATCCAGAGGGGATTTCACAGAGCGCAGTCAGTCAAAAAATGGATTTCGCTTTCGCTTGTCCAGGTTTCAAAAAAAATGGAGGGCTCGGTATTTGTTTAGGCCAGCGATGTTACAGTTTCCCCCCACACTTTCGAATAAGTCTTGAATGGGATTTTTTTTCCCCTTCTTAAATCCCCCTCAGTTAAACAGTTTCAAAATGAGTCTGTTAAACGGGAAATGTAAGGAGTGCAATTGAGAAGAATCGAGGGATTTATTTTATGCAACATGGAAAAAAAATTCAGAACAATCTCATAACCACTGTCAGAACGTTAAGCAATCACAAATAACAGTTTATTTCTGCCCAAATCCAGTGCAATCATCAACTGTGTGCGTCAGCATCAACTTTTTAGAGTGCATTTAAAGAAAATAAGAGTGCTCAAACCATTGTGAAATTATAATCCTAGTAAAGATAAATCAAACAAATTGTTTTTCCCAATTAGTACACACTACGGCCTCCATCTTGATCAGAGGGTATCGGCATATGGAGGAGGAGGGGGAAGCAGCTCCATCTCTGAGAAGTCAATCTCCTGTTCGCTGTCACAATAAATTAAAAACAAAGAAAGATGCTTTAAGTACAGTTTGGGGGAGATTCTTTATGGGGAAAGAAAAACAAATCCTGAGTGCTTCACTACTATAAACAATGTTCAAAGAGATTCCAGTTTCTCCCTCTGATTAGACGGAACCAACACTTACGGATACGGAGGCTCCTCAACCGCGCACAAGAAACCTAGATAAAAACAAGAATGATACACAAGTCACATCAACTTTGAACTGCCGGTCTGTAAAACATGCAACACCCTCTCGTCTACAAGTCACGGGAGATAAAACCCTCCCCGCTGAGCTGTTTTCCATCACACGAAAAAGAAAAAAGTCTCAAAGTTGTGTTTAGACTGCAGAGGCCCCAAGGTGATGTGTGTGTAGGTGCCCTTGTTTTAGCTTCACCATTATCAGTGAAAGGGAGAGGATAGCGGTGATGTCAACGGAGACAGAGAAACAATATTAAACTGTCAACTCACTTGACGTGTCAGCACTTTGAACGAGACAAACAGGATAAGTAAGAAGTTATTAGCAGAACGAGGCGGGGACAGTGGGAAGTGTTGGCAAAGATGCGTCAGCAGAAAACTGTACTTGGTAGGAGTCGCTCCTCCGTCGTCGTCTTTGCTGTGTTGGATCAAGAGGGCCAGCTTCTGCAGAGCCTCGTGTATGGTTCTGTAAACCAGGGACATTTCTGAGTCACATTTTACTGACCGACAGGACAGTGGTGGTTCTTGCTGGAATGGGGCCCTGGGCAGGTTCCTTCTTCCTCCCCCCCAACCAATTAAAACTCAAGTAATTATGAGAGTTTTTTTTTCCAGCAGAAAGCAGGCTAACTAATCCCTCACTACTCGCTAATAAAAACAGGAAACTCACTTCACTGTAAACTTGTTCAAGGCACACCAGACAAATAAGATACAGATATTTTCTTTTACTTCTTGGGTGTCCTGCCTCCCATTCTAATGCCACCCTGGGCAACTGCCCAGATAGCCCATTTCAAGAACTGCCACTGCTACAGGAGTAGGAGAGATATTTGCACTCGATACAGCTATGATTGAAACAATTAATTGGCTTAATCAGGATGAATAAATTATTTAAAATAATTGTCAACTAATTTAGTGATTGATTAATCATTAACTCAAGACTCAAAACAGGCCATTTGCTGAAATAAAATATTCAGAGCAGTAAATAAGCCACAATCATCACAATGTTGGAGGCATTTTCATAGATGCATCCTCTGCTACAAATGATCAAGCATTCACTAAAGGCCAATATTGTGTTCATTATCTTATTTGAAAAGGAACTAAATTACTTCCTTGCATCTCTTAATGTATTTCTAATATTGTATAAAAATAACTAAGGGGTTAAATGAAAAAACTGTAGAATGTGCCCATTTTTTAAAATCTGATTAATGGTCAGAATAATTGATCACTAAAATAATCAACAGCTGCAGCCCGAGATACAATCAAATGTAGTAATCCTTAGGACTAATTTTATTCAGCAGGTGCAAATTTCTTTGTTCAAACTATTCAAATTACACAGAGTCGAAACATTGAGTTAATCTTTCTATTAGAAGACTTCTGTAACTCACCCTGACATACTGGACCAAATTCATGAATTTTTTGCCAATTGTTTTTCTTGATCTTACTTCACAATTACTTCTTAGTCTATGACATTAAAACAAACTCAAGTGTTGCCTATGAACACTTTTCAAGGCATTGCATTAGCTCATCACCACTAACCCACAACTGTTAACTCTTAAGTTGGCATAAAACCGTTTTCGCTGCTGTGACTGCGTGTGTTTGGGACTTACTGTGTGTGTTGGTCTTCCAGGTTGCCATCACTGAGTGTACACTGGGCATCCACATCAACGCAAGCTGACAAAGTGAGCACATGAAGGCCAGAGGTATGAAGAGGAGCTGAGAGGAGTTAGCTTAGCAGTACATAAACAACAGCAGTGGCAGACACTCAGTGTGGTGAAACGGCACATTAAAAGGCATGTCAAGCTGTGTTTCCATCGACCATAAAAATGTAAGATTGGAATTAAGAAGAGAAATTTTCTTAATGAAAACATGGCAATTTTGAACAAACTCCCCTTTTTGGATAAAAACATTTTTGCGCTAGGATGAGGTGGTTTTCTGGCCGTATTGAAGTTAGTGCATTTCACAAAACAACAATAGAAACACTTCCATCCATCCATCCATTTTTTTTTTTACACCCTTGTCTCTTAGTGGGGTCGGGAGGGGTGCTGGTGCCCATCTCCAGCTAACGTTCCGGGCGAGAGGCAGGGTACACCCTGGAAACACTTTTCTGCATCATATGAGTCACATGATCAACAACCAGATGTTAATACTAGAAGGAAAGAAAGCAGGAAGTTGTAGGAGGATGAGGGAGCAGCATGTTTTTTTTAAGGACTTATGTGAACAAACGTATTCAAGAGTGATTTTTAATTGCGTTTCTTATTTAACAGAAAACAGAAATTGCAAAAATGTGTTTTTTTGACATTAACGGAATATCAACAAAGTTTTGCGCATTGTGATGGAAATGCAGCTAGTGCGGTAAAACAGCGCAGTAAAAGGCGTGTCACAGTCTGCTATCCAGCCACACGCAACACCAACCAAACAGAGACGGCACTCTTCCCTTTAAAGTGACACGCTGGAGTTTTGGTTGGGTTTTTCCCAGCACTTACATACTTCATATACTTACACATTTCTGGTTCTGAAACAGTCTGCTGACCAAAGCTGCGGCACAAAAACAGAGAGAGAGGAATGAACAATAAAATGCTTTCAAACTGCTAGAATATTGCATCATCAGGCCACTTTGAGCCCTGACGAGGACAATGATCGTCATACTGGCTTTCATAGGACGGTGAAAGAGTTTCATCCTCACAGGCCCATTCGTCGCTGTCATCTGTGACTGTGGAAAAACAAACTGCTGTGATTAAGGCCAGCATGCATGCTGATGAGAGACGTTCAGCAGCCTCACCCCCAGTAAAAGAAAATAAAATAAAATAACACAGCTTTGAAGCAGATGGTGAACATGGCGACTGACGTGGTGTTTCATCAATCAACGAGCGCAAACATTTTCTGTACTGTTCAGCGCATTCTGACACAATGAGTGATTGAAATGTAAGCAACAGGCTGGAGGGCTGTGGATACTTACAGGATCTGGAAAAAGACAGGAGGGAAAGAGGGGAGAAATGTGTCAGGATTTATCATTGCAGGCGTGGAGTTTTGATCTTATGAATTAAAATAAAGAAATCCACTTGTCTTTTTCAAGTACCGGCTCCCAATGCTGATGGTGTCCGGCTCCACGCAGGCTCCACGTCCAGCTGCTTGAGCCTTTTTGCCGAGTTCCAGCATGTCCTTGATGTTTAGCTCGACATTCATCACCGAGATGTAACCGTCTACGACAGACAGGACAACAGGACAACAGAGACTGAGAACAATGGAAGTCAAACTAGAAAAAAAAGAAAGAAACGACCCGAAAAAAAATCTTAGTTATTTGTTCTAATTGAACCTACACTTGTGGTTGGCGTCCCTGGCCAGCCATTTGCCTTTGGGGCAGTTGGTGGTTCGGATGATGCTGACTGTGTCACCGTTCCTCACAGGCAGGTCGTTCTTGCGGACCTTGCTGGCCACCATGACCTTCGCGTGGTACATCGGCTCTTCCTCCCCGGTCACCTACGGAGTCAGCACAGGAGGTCAATCGCTGATTTTCAAACAAGTAAGACAAAGTTGTCCATTGTCTGAATTACATTGCTTACTTTGAACTTTTTTTTCATTTCATTTTCCTTCTTCTCCCTCTCTTTCTGCTCTTTTCTCTCCTTTTCAAGTCGCTGCTTCTCTCTCTTCTTCTGTTCTTTGTGGTCAGCGGTGTAGGGGCTTGTGCACTGCCTAAAGACAGATTAGACCGTTCAACTTACTACAAACAAAATGTAGAGGGTAAGAGACATACAATGCAAAAACAAAATATCTGAAGTATTTTTGGTCCAGTTTCTGGTCCAAGTAAATTAGTACACTTGAAATAGAACAAAACTACCTTACAAATCACTTTCCAGGAAGAAAAATGAACATGTTTTAAGTTGATAATTTCTTAATATAGATGAAAAAAATAATTGTTCCACTGGCAGAATTTTTCACTGAAAACAAGACATCTTTCCAAAGTTATATGTAAAATGTCAAAGATACAAAAAGGAAGCAAATGGACTATGTTTATGTTTGGGAACGCATACCATGGA